CGACCCATATCGAGTTCACGCCCACGAACATCCTCTCTATCGTCGCGAACATGACCCCCTTCTCCGACTACAACCAATCTCCACGTAACATGTACCAGTGCCAGATGAGCAAACAAACCATGGGTACGCCAGGTACTTCGATTGCCCACCGTACCGACAACAAGTTGTACCGCATCCAAACGGGTCAAACACCAATTGTGCGGCCGCCTCTCTACAACGCCTACGGTCTGGACAACTTCCCCAACGGCATGAATGCAGTTGTGGCTATTATCTCCTACACCGGATACGACATGGACGATGCTATGATTATCAACAAGTCTGCACACGAACGTGGCTTCGGTCACGGTACAGTATACAAGACCAAGGTCGTCACTTTAGCCGAGAACGACTCCCGCCGGGCCAAGTCCAAGCGTGAGGTCACCAAGCTGTTTGGATTCGCCCCGGGCGACGAGATCAAAGACCAGGTGCGCAACACCATTGACGAAGATGGAATGCCGCACCTGGGCGCCCGCGTCAAGGAAGGCGATAAGATCGCGGCCTGGCACAATGTCCGCTTCGATCCTGCCTCCGACTCGTACGTCAACGTCGACGGAGTCACCCACTACATGAAATACAAGGATGCCGAGGAAGGCTACGTCGATAGCATCCGCATAATGGGTTCCGAGTCTGGAAACGAGCCCGCTCAATCGCTCAGCGTCAAGTATCGCATTCCCCGAAAGCCCGTCATTGGTGACAAGTTCTCCTCTCGTCACGGTCAGAAGGGTGTTTTGTCTCAACTCTGGCCTGCGGTCGACATGCCCTTCTCCGAGAGCGGCATGCAGCCTGATCTGATCATCAACCCTCACGCTTTCCCATCCCGTAAGTTCCCTTGCTGTTCACATCAAATATATTCACCCGTCTAACATATCCCCAGGTATGACAATCGCTCAAATGATTGAGTCAATGGCCGGCAAAGCCGGTGCCATGCACGGTCTCCCGCAAGATTCCACTCCTTTCCAATTCTCCGAAGAAAACACCGCAACCGACTACTTCGGCGAGCAGCTCCGCAAAGCCGGCTACAACTACTACGGCAACGAGCCGTTGTACAGCGGTGTCACAGGCCGCGAGTTCTCCGCCGACATCTACATGGGTCTGGTCTACTACCAGCGTCTCCGTCACATGGTGAACGACAAGTTCCAAGTGCGTACGACTGGTCCTGTCAACGCGCTCACGGGCCAACCCGTCAAGGGTCGTGCGAAGGGTGGTGGCATCCGTGTCGGAGAGATGGAGCGTGATTCACTCATTGCTCACGGTGCGGCCTTCTTGCTGCAGGATCGTCTCATGAACTGCTCCGACGCCCAGCACACCTGGATCTGTCGCTGCTGTGGTTCGTTCCTGTCTACGCAGGTTGCTGTTTCCGGCTCGTCCCGCTCCCGCACTGCTATCAACCCCGGTGCTGCCGCTGCTGCTGCCAAGGTTGCTCCTAACCAGCAGACCGCCAATGCCCATGCTGGTGGTGCTATTGGTGCTGTGGGCGGTGTCAATGGTGTTGTACGCTGCCGTCGTTGTGCCCGTGAGGCAACCTTCGACGACTCCCGTGCTGAGGTCTGGGAAGATGGTGATGGACACCGCTACGTCGGTGGTGACGATGTTACTATCGTTGCTGTGCCCGGTGTGCTGCGGTACTTGGATGTCGAGTTGGCGGCTATGGGTATCAGGATGAAGTTCTTGGTGAATAACTGATATATCAGTCTCTGGCTGGGGATCTCAAAAATTGTTTCCTTGTTTCAATGTCATAGGTGGCGTATACCTGGTTTAATGATTATACTGATCTGCTTCTTGTCTTATTTCTTTTTTGCAAATATTCATTTGTGTACAAACAGCATTTCCTAGCAGAATCAGAAGTGTTAAAGAAAATCGCCTTCGTACCTTCGTACATGGGATACTTCCAGCTATAATCTTCTCTACCAAGGCGTTCAACGACCTCAGGATAGTTAAAGTAAGATAGAATCTTCATTTCATTGATAAGTGCCATAATACATGTCTGACTTGCTATACTACCAATACCTCCAAATATTAACCTCAAACCGAGCCTTTCTCCCCCTCAAGCTCGCTCTGCACCAAACCGGTTTTCGCAGACGGGAACTCCCTTGTGCGCACCTTGTTCTCAAACAGAACATCCAATTCAGCATAAGAGCGGCCCTTGGGCTCAGGAAGTCTGAAGAACGACCAAACAAAGCAGCAAATGCAGAGCGCACCCCAGAAGAACCCAGATTTCCCCCTCCAATTCCACGCATCCACGTTCAGCATGTAAGGAATGATAATACCAGTCACCAGATTGAGCACGTTATACGTATTCCTCGCCAGCACAACCGTCTTAGTCCGAAGTCTCGACGACGGCATCTCCGAAACGAGCGAGAAACACACCGGCCCGATAGTCGAATCATAGACGAACGTATACACAAGCAACATGGACCCCGTCGCCCACGAGAGCGACGTAGTCGCCGGTACAACAGACACAAACCCAATAACAAACAGGATAACCGCCAGGATCGCCAGACCACCCACATAAAGTGTGCGACGACCAAAGTATGTCATAAACAGCCACGAGCTGAACGTACCAACAACTCCGATCGCATATTGCGCCAGCGACATAGTGAACGACTGCGAGTCCGCCAGGCCAGCACGTTGGTAGAAAACAGTCGAGTAGCCCATCAGACCGCTGCCACATAGACTCTGCACCGCCCAGACACAGCACGCGATCTCCGTGCGTCGCAGGTCCGTCCCCTTAAAGCAGTCCATATACGAGGCGCCAGTCTCGGTCTGCTTCTCCATGGCATTCGTATACACAATCATAGAGACGGTTTCCTCTGCGCTGAAGTTGGGGTCTGCGCGCGTGAGCCGCTTCACAGACTTGATGGCGTCTTCGCGTCTGTCCTTCCGTACAAGCCACCACGGACTCTCGGGCGCAAAATACACACCAATGAAGATCGGAACCGGCCACACCCACTGGATACCGAAGGGGATGCGGTACGCCCACTGGTCGGTCTGTCCTGCAAGGCCCTTCAGCACGCCGGAGGCGATGAGCTGTCCGAAGACCCAGCATAGATTGACGTAGGTTGTTAGGTAGGCGCGCAGTGCGACGGGGCATACCTCTGAGGCGTATGTGACTGTCAGGGTCTGGTAGACGCCTAGGGGGATACCCATGAGGAACTCGCCGGCGACGAGAGTCTGGACGTTTGGTGCAAAGAAGAGGATGAAGATGAAGCCGACGGTGGTGGCGAGACAGGTCATTAGGGTTTTGCGGTAGCCGTAGCGCTCAGAGACGATACCGTTCACGAAGAGGCCTATGATCTGGCCGACGCTCATTGCGTTGGTTAGGCCCGCTTGCCACGAGGCGGCGAGGCCGTATTTGCCGTCTGACATAAGGTCGCCGTATTTCATGTTGAAGGCTGGGAAGGCGAAGAATGAGCCGATTAGCACCACGTCGTAGCCTTCCATGATGATGGCGCAGGAGAGGAGGAGGGACCAGGCTACGGCTTTGGGGTAGAGCCTTAGGGCTTCCATGGCGGTCATGTTGTGCTCCTTTTCGATGGCGGCGTGGGCTTCGGTGGTGGTTTGGAGGTCTGTATAGCCCGCCAGGGCATGGCCTGCTGGTTCGATTGATTCATGTTTCTCGACATGAGCGGTAGCTTGCTTTTCAGAAGCCATTGCTGGGATGGGGGTGCCAATGCAGGCTCTCAGTGATTATCCGGGTTGTTGCTCGCTGAGGACAGAACTGGATAGGAGAGATGTATTCTGTGCGGGCATGCGGCATTTATGTACAAATTTGTGTTAACGGTCGTCAACTGTCGTCCATAATGAGCGAGGAGTAGAGCGCGGTTCGATTGGTCCACTCGCCCGTCGAGTTTAATCCTTGCTGAATTGCATTGACAAGTGAGAGGAGTGGCGTGGGGAAAACTTTCCCCGGTTTAATCGGCACGGGGTCTGGGTTAGCCCACTGTCCCCCGGATTTTCGGGGGGAGAGTCGATTGGTGTAATGTCGGGCCGGGCAGGGATGAAGAAACGTTCGCCCTGCACTTCCTCTGCATGTCCTTTGCTCCAGCCGCGTTTCGCATTCTTCGTATTGGCCATCTTGGGGCGGCCGCTTCTCCTGATCCAGTTAGACATATCGTATTTTGCCAGCAGAACATTTCATAAAATTAGTATGTGTGCATTTTATTGACTATAGAAATTGATAGAGATTAATAGTGTGGAAATGAACGACACTAGAAGTTGATATTATAGAAATTGAGATATTATAGAAGAAGTCGGCCGCTGAAACGGCCGTAGTTTAGTGTTCTTCTCCAATAGCCTTTCTATACTTTTTTTTTTAGAGGTCTTTTGTAGTAGTCTCCTTAGGTAGTCTTTTCAGATATCTAGTTATACAGATACATAATTTTCTCCCCCTTCTTAGTTTGTTAGGTAACTAGATAGTAGAAAAGGGATATGTAGGTAATAATAAATCGGCGGTGTGGAAGGCGGTCAAATTTAGTATGGGAAATTACGATATGGCGCACTGGCGCCTATGCACTGCCGTAGGGGGATAGCGCTGGCTGAGTGGTGAAATTGTCGGCCCGACATTCTCCCTTCTCCCCCTCATTTCTGCTCGATGAACTCAGTTAGACCCGGAAAGAGAGGCGAATCGGCATGGACACTTTCCACATTAGAAACCTTGTTCTTCCCAGACTTCTCTGGCGATTTGCCTGAGGATGCGGTCGTCAATCTTATGTCAGTTTCCCTCGCGAGGGTTGCCGGGTGGAGAAAGAGCTTGGGGAAGTCGACAATGAGGGGCTGGCCCTGGAGGTAGATCTTGTCGTTCTCTCCTTTGTGGAGCCTAACCTCTTGTTGGCGCTTCACCCTATCGTTCTCGAGTTCCCATGACTCCAGCACGATCTCTGGGTTGCTCCGATCGATTTTGAGGGTGATCACCATTTAGACTTCCCGGTTTGATTGGGTAAGCCAATAGCGCGCATCTGACATCAACTTTGACGGGGATTCTGAAAGACTGGACTCAACGACGACCGATGGCCATCGTTTTGTGCGGCCCCGCGGAAGTCTCTTGGGGAGGAATTGACAGTCAGGTTGCTTTGCGGAGCCGTTGTTTTGCCACAGAAGTGGCAGATCCGAAAGTTCGAAGAAACATCGTCAAGACCCATGGGCCCAAGGGACTTGAAGGATTGTCTTTCAAATTGCTGTGTGGCGATTTCATGTGCGCGTGATACTCGCATTTTGATGAGGATAAGGTTTTGGGGACAGTCGTAAAAATTCCAGCATCGCTGAATGATTTGATCGTCTGAGTTAAGGAAGTCGCGATTGACTGCCTGCTTATTGACCCCGGTAAAGAGCACACATTCACTAACATCGAAATCCTCTTCCTGGCGACGTAATTCCATCTCCAAAGTGCCCAGGAACTGTTTTACTCCCTTGTATGGATAGCTTCTAATCGATGACCCTAGGTCACTGAGAAAGCTACCAGAGGTCTCAGTACCTAGGTCAAGTTCTATGTTCAAGGACATGGTGGCGGGGTTGTACATAGGCTCCTTTTCGTGCTAGTGAGATAGATAGAGAATGCCCACGTTGATTGATTCTAGGGTTTACAAACCTCGCGGGCCTTTCCCGGAATAGAGGTACACACGTAGAACAAGGGTTAGAATGGTCAAAGTTCACCCAGTAGTGCGTCAAGATTTGGGCTCGAAAACGGAGTGGTGAGTCCTTACTGACGTTTCCCGGGGTAAGATATTCTCGTTATTCATGGAGGATGCAGGGGCTTGCATGCAGACAGCCAAGCCCGGATATCGGTCAGAACCAACCCCGAAATCCGGATGTACGTACATATGTAACATGTTGATAAGTTCATAACCCCTGTAAATTTTGGTGGTGCAATTTTGAACCCGAACGCCTCCAAGGCGCCTTACTGCCTTCCTTATCCGAGACATAATCCAAGTAATTTTGACTATTGGACCTCTTTGTTTCCTTACACACCGTAACAGCTAGGCTGTTCTGACCTTATGTCGACTGCCTCTTGCCCAGGGCATCGCATAACTCCGTGGCTTTGACGGGAACATCTCTCATGACGACCGTGGTCTTGACAAGGGCGGAAAGCCTTGTTGTACAGGATGAGTCGATTCCAATGGAGTCTCTTCCAGCGTCAACACAGGAGAAATCTCAGAGACAAGACAGACAACAACAAACACGAGTGAACGAACCAGGACAAAGAAATCAGCACGGCGAAGCGTCAACACCGCATACTAAAAAGAAACCATGGCAATTCTGGGCTGTTTTCCCAGCGCTGTGCATGACCACTTTTCTATCGGCTCTCGACACGTCCATTCTATCGACTGCCCTTCCGACTATCGCTCTCGACATCAACGCTGGCGAATCCTACATGTGGATCACCAACTCCTACATTCTATCGTCGACCGTGGTCCTCCCCTTATTCGGCCAGACGGCAAATATATTCGGCCGTCGATGGCTCCTGATCCTCTCGGTCATCATCTTTGCCGTGGGAAGCGGCCTTGCCGGGGGAGCAGACGATACGGTCCAGATCATTGCCGGACGAACAATTCAGGGCATCGGCGGTGGCGGTATTAACACGCTCGTTGATACTGTCATCTGTGATCTCGTCCCTCTTCGCCAGCGAGGGAAATATGTAGCTCTTATGGCAGCCGTATGGGCAGTAGGGACGGTGGTTGGTCCCGTGTTGGGCGGTGCCTTTGCTGAGTATACGTCGTGGCGCTGGGTCTTCTACATCAACCTACCCCTAAGTGCCGTGTCACTAATGTTACTTGTGCTGTTCCTTCGAGTTTCGCATCCACGTGCTGGCGGTAGCATATGGCAACAGCTGCGCCGTGTCGACTATATTGGCAACGCCATTCTCACAGCCACGGTCGTTTCGGTTTTACTCGCACTTAGTTGGGCAGGAGTTGATTATCCTTGGTCCTCATGGCGGGTCCTTGTGCCCCTGGTTCTAGGGCTAGCGGGTTTATTTCTCTTCTACGCTCATCAACGGTCACGGTTCTGTCAGGAACCCTCTATTCCGACCAAGTTATTCTCAAGTGGAACGGCTGTCTGTGCACTGTGGATTGCTTTCATTCAATCAATATTGCTCTACTGGGTTGGATATTTTCTTCCCATCTATTTCCAGGCAATTCGCAGCTCGACTGCCACCGAATCCGGACTGTTTGTACTCCCTATTACGGCGGCTATCGCGCCCCTCGGCATTATTACTGGTGTTTTGATCGCTTCCACCGGGAAATACCGTGCCTACCACTTCCTAGGCTATATATGCCTTACCACTGCCACCGGATTATTGTCACTACTGAACGATCACTCACCCGCTCGCGAGTGGGTCGGCTTCCAGGTTCTTTTCGGCGCGGGCTCGGGAATGATATTTTCCAGCACCTTGCCTCCTATCCAGGCATCCCTCCCTGAATCCGATATGGCCACTGCTACCGCAACCTGGGCGTTTATGCGCAGCTTTGGTTGTATTTGGGGTATCGCGATTCCGACTACTGTCTTCAACGCGCGGGTTCAGGAGCTGCTCTACCGCATCAACGATGTTCCTTTGCGTGAAAAGCTTGCTAATGGGGGCGCGTATGCAATGGCTAGCGATGGGCTTATACGTACTTTAAAAGACACTCCCCAGTTAATGGCGGAGGTACTGAGTGTTTATCAAGATAGCTTGCAATGGGTGTGGTGGATTGCTATTCCATTCGGTGGTATCGGACTTCTTCTTTGCATACCTATCAGGCAACTGGTGCTCAGTGAGGACTTGCACACTGAGTTTGGATTGCAGGAGGGACAGAGAAGGGAATAAAGGAACACTCATGGAATAAATTGGTTGTCAGTGCCTGCTGGCTTCGATGTAAAAAGCGCTGAGTTGTGTAGAAATCAATATTCAGGGCTTTTACCAGATACATCTTTGTCGCTGAGATTCATATTTGCATCCGGGTTACATTTGAAATACATATAGATGCAAAAGGGGCGATTATGTCGTGACCAACGCACTACCTTGTTGATAGGGCCTTTCTCGTTGTCTATGAGGCAACATTTCCAAGCCTATGTAGAAACCATACGAAGATAACCTATATAACTATTTTCTCACATGCTCTGGGACCGATGGGCTGCTACCTGCATACACATATATTGTTTTGATGTTTACATGGATTGACGTCTTTATCAACATCACGAGCAATTGATCTTGGAACCAGTCTATGTACTGGTCTTCTTGAAGATATTCACGCTCTATCTTATTATTTTCATATCTCTATTTGCTCTCATTGACTCGATGTCGGGCCGACAATCGTCGGCAAGACCTTGTGCCACTCATTTCCCCGCGGGGTTTCTTTCTAGCGCTAAACGAGGGGAGAGGTAACCATACATTATTGTACCGCCATATTTCCGTCAGAGATCCGAAAGCTAATCTCCGGGAGTTGTCTCACTCTCCGGTTAAAGGATAAAACGCGTGTAAAGGATTACTGCGTGAAAGCCGCCCCTTAGTGTGGGTGTAGAACTAGGGATGTAGCGATGCTGTTTTGCTTTCTTTCTTTTTTCCACTAAAGCCTGCTGAAGTATCCTGGTATAGTACGTGGGTTAACTTCGTATGACAGAAAAGTACGGGAATGGCTTTCTGAATAACTTGACTATTACCATGCAGCTGTGGGGGTCCACCTACTAAGCCAAGACAACGGAAAGGGTGGACAATAGTCCAACTGCAGAAAGACGCATAGCGAAAGACTCCCTTCGTTCGGCGCTAGGAAGAAACCCCGCAGGGAAATGAGTGGCACAAGGTCTTGCCGACGATTGTCGGCCCGACATCGAGTCAATGAGAGAAACCCTCCCTACGTACTCTCGGGGGAGTTTGGACTCCATCGTCGCGCTTGGAGAGGTGGTTACCTAGTGCGATGATTATCTAAAATCCAATGCTTTAGGGATATATATAGCCTCCTCGCTTTATCCGATGTTGGAGCTGTACATACTCTTCTCCATTTGCATTCCAACCCATTACATTCACCATGTCTCCCGCTATAGCGAGCGAAAAGTGGTGGAAAAACTCCATCATCTACCAAATCTACCCCGCCAGCTTCAAAGATTCCAACGGCGATGGCATTGGCGACATCCCAGGGATTATCTCGTCCCTCGATTACATCACAAGTCTTGGTGTGGACGTGATCTGGCTGTGTCCTATGTACGACAGCCCACAGATTGACATGGGCTACGATGTTGCCGACTACCAAAGCGTGTATGGCCCATACGGTACTGTCCAGGACATGGAGACCCTCATTGATGCATGCCACAAGCGAGGACTTCGAATTATTCTGGACCTGGTGGTGAATCACACCTCAGACCAGCACAAATGGTTCAAAGAATCCCGCTCTTCAAAGACAAACCCCAAGCGCGACTGGTACATCTGGAAGCCAGCCAAATATGACCCCAACGGGAATCGTCAGCCGCCAAATAACTGGCGCAGCATTTTCGGAGGCAGTGCATGGGAGTGGGACGAGAAGACACAAGAATATTATCTCCATCTGTTCTGCGTTGAACAGCCCGATGTCAATTGGGAGAATGCCGAGACTCGCCAGGCAGTCTACGAGGAGGCAATGGAATTCTGGCTGCAGAAGGGTGTGGATGGCTTCCGTGTCGATACAGTCAACATGTACAGCAAGCACCCCGAGTATCCCAATGCTCCAATCCTTGATCCAAAGTCCGACACACAACCGGCGTTCTCGCTGTTCTGCAACGGTCCTCGAATTCACGAGTACATGCACGAGATGAACGACGTGCTTTCGAAATATGATGCAATGACCGTTGGCGAACTGCCAAACACACATACCGTGGAGGGTGTTCTGCGCTATGTCTCAGCAGCAGAGAAGCAGCTGAGCATGGTCTTCCAATTCGATCTCGTGGACCTCGGCCAGGGCAAGGACTATAAATTCCTGACCACTTTGCGGGGCTGGAATCTACGAGAACTAAAATCTGCCGTGAAGAGCACACAGGATATCATTAAGGGCACCGATGCATGGACCACAGTGTTCATGGAAAATCACGACCAAGGCCGCTCTGTGAGTCGGTTTGGTTCTGATAAGACACCCGAGTTGAGAGTTCGGTCTGCAAAGATGCTTGCCATGATGCAAAGCACACTTTCTGGCACGCAGTTTATCTACCAGGGCCAGGAGATTGGAATGGTGAATGCGCCGCGGGAGTGGACGATTGATGAATACAAAGATATCGACAGCACCAACTACTATCGAATGACAAGCAAAGTATCCGGCGACGACCCAGTCAAGTTGAGCACGGCAATGGATTCTCTGCAGCATTTGGCGAGAGATCATTCCAGACTCCCCATGCAGTGGAGTGATGATATCTATGCTGGCTTTTCACCGGCCTCATCGGCAAAGCCATGGATGCGCCCGAATGACAATTACCCCGAGATCAACGTCAAGCTCCAGGAGAAAGACTCATCTTCTGTTCTTTCCTTCTGGAAACAGATGAATCAGCTGCGCAAGGAGTACGCCGATCTCCTGGTCTTTGGAGAGTTTGAGATCATCGACGAGCCAAATCAGAACGTCTTCACCTATACCAAGACAAACCGCAACCAGACCATTTTGGTGGCTCTCAACTTCTCAGATACAACACAGAGGTTTGAGAAACCGGATTCCGTGAAGAGTGAAGATTGGAAATTGTTGGCTAGCAATGTAGATGGGCACGAGGACTTACAGGCGTTTGAAGGGAGAGTCTTTTTGGTTTAGGGCTGGGATATACTACTGGTTAAATAGCTCAATTGGTTAGAGGACATAATTATGGCAGATTGCAATCAAATATCTTGAATGATTCGAGTCCGACCTTTATATCCAACCTTCTACGTAGACAACATGATATACCCAGTCTGAATCCACTGCGCATCCCAGTTACACCCAGTTACACCCAGTTACACCCAGTTACACCCAGTTTCACCCCGGGTCACCCCGGATTCTCCCCAGTTTTATTAAGCTTTTAATTAATGCAGGTATAAATTAGGCCTATCTAGGTAAGTCTCATTTGTTAACTTTTTGCAACATAGACATACGCCACAGACATCCGCATGGAGAACAATCCCGTGGCGCTACGCTCAAAAAGTCTTAATTGCCAAGGCCCTCTTCAACATCGAACGCGGGGAAAAGAAGTACATGTTTCGACTAAACATCTACCCCTGAACACTTGAAACCCTCCAAATCAAAAGAAGAAATGGCTAGTCCAACTTCCCAGTCGCGAGTCCCAAAAGCATGCGACCCGTGTAATCGCCGCAAAGTTCGCTGCAATGGCCAGCAAAGATGTCAGCAATGCGAGCACCTGGACCTCCTGTGCACTTACACAGAGAACCGTTTATTGCGATCAAGAAAACACTCAGTACGCCGAGGGGCTGTCATCTCTAAATACAAGAGCGCCGACACCAAACACACCACTCTGACACCAGTTCTCTCTCCACGAGCACCAACAGCCGCACTCCAACTACCAACCTCGTACTATGAAAGTCTACTCCCAGCCTACATGTCCTATGTGTACCCCTTCAGCCCAATAATCACCGAAACAGAAGTGCGCACCTCAATTTCAAAAATGAACACGGAAAGAGAGCACGCAGCCTTCATCTATGCCTTCACCGCAGTAACCCTGGACCTAACCCGCTCCTCTCAATTCGCCACCAAATCCAGCCCCCAAATCGCCTCAACCCAAATACCCGATCTAATGCGCCAGTCCGTGGAAACCCAACAACCACTAGTAATAGGCTTCCGACCCTCAATCCTGCGCGCCACAACTAGCATCTTCATCCAGATGTGCGCCATGAGCCTGGGCCACAACGACCTGGGTTTCTTCCACCTCCGTGAAGCAATCAGCATGATCCAGATGCTTCGCATCGGCGACAAAGCCGTCAACGCACGCCTCAGCACGGCAGAGCGAGCCCGCCGCCAACGACTCTACTGGCAATGTTTCATCCACGAGCGATTCATGTCCATAGTGAACTTTTCTCCGGTCACGCTGCCCCCGTACTCGCAGTACCCGGAAGAAGACATTTTCGTGGGCGCGGATATCCAGCAGGGCTGGACGCAGGTTATTAAGACGTTCTGCATGCTCGATGCGTCGTTTATCAGTCTGTGGATTGGGGACCGTACGCAGGTGACTGCGTCGTGGGTTGAGCGGAAACACCGCGAGCTGGACGATGCGTTGTGGGAGGTGGAGGTTTCGGCGCTGTCGGAGCTGCAACAGGCGGATTTGGTTATTACGAGGCAGTGGATGCGGACGTTGTTGTGGCAGATGGCGATGTCGAATTGTTTGCTTAGTTCGCATGCGTCGTGTCCTTCGTTGGAGCTGGAGATGCCGTTGAGGTTGTCGAGTCAGCTCAGGCAGTTTTTGACCAAGATCTCGCAGAATACGATTCGTGTGCATGGATCGTCGATGATTAGCAAGTTGTTGGAGATTGTTAATACTATTGCTGATGTGGTGATTCATGTGCCGCAGGCGACTAGGGAGGAGACGACGAGTCGCATTGATGATATTGTTTTTATGCAGGGGGTTGTGCTTCCTTTTAATAATTTGCAGGTTATGTCGAAGGATATTCTGTTGGATAAGTTTCGTTTGATTAGGGGGAGGTTTCCGCATATTGAGGTGGCCATGCAATTGGCTGTTTAGTTGGAGATCGGAGATATTCTGTGAAGGGGCCAGGAGAAAGACAGAGCGACTATGTACTAATATGAGATGGAGCATGTGTTTAGATTGCCTTCCATCCAACTGAATAGCAGAATATAAGTTGAAACCAGTGTTGACACTTAACCTAAGCATAATTCAATGACATGTCGATATCAATATTACACACAAAAATTCATTCCTCTAGACCCGTTTACAACGCAGATGTCACGTTGGAGAACTCGCCCTTCTGGAGCTTCGTCTCCCAGAAGATAGGGTTCATGTCATCGAATCCGTGGTGAACCCATCCCTCTTCCTTGACGTGGTACAGGTTAATGAAACCACCGGAGTAAGCATCACGGTGCATGGCAGCCAGAATGGCCCGGCGACCGAGGTTCAATGCCTCCTCCTCAGTCAGCTCGTATTTGTACTCGGCGTCCAGCACACCATAAGCAAAAGTCTGACCGGATCCAACACAGAACAAGTTACCAGGGAGGCGGGTACCGTCGGAGTCGATGTAGTACAGGGCGGGTCCTTCTTGGGGCGTCATCTAGAGATCATGTCAGTCTCCGAGTCTCATAGCTGTAGATTGTTTATGGCACGTACTCCTGCTAACATAGTTCCCATGCTAAGTCCGTATCCCTTGTAGGCGTAAGTGAGGTTGGCAAGAATCTTGGACGCGGCTGCGACAGTGATACGACGCTTGTGTCGGATTTCTAGACAGAAATCCATCAGCAACGTCCTTCCACCCCCTGCAAATATCAAGAATCGAGCTGAACTTACCGTGCAGAGTGCACTGCTGACTCAAATACCGCAACCAATATTGGCAATCCTAGCAATTCGTAACAACCATCAGCAACCAAGGTTCATCAAACCATCACTCGTCATCATCCTTGCGGTCCAAACTTACAGCTGCACCACCCGCCATCGTTCCCAGAAGACCTGGCGTCGGTTCATTCGTCTTCTTGTCCTCGCCTCGACTCAACCGCGATACAGGGATGACCTTCTTGACTGTCTGACTGGCAATCCAGTTGCCGGCTGTTGCTCGCGAATCGGTACACACGATCTAACCCAATATATCAATCAGCACGACATGCTCCAAAATCAAGAAAACCATGGTATAACCGAATTATAGGAAAACGTACGATACCGCCCTGGAACCGGAAGGCCAGGGTTGTTGTGCCGTGAGCGAGCTTGATAGGACAGCTGGGATTGGAGTGGTCATCGGTCATGGCACGCAGGAAAGCAGAGTGCTAGATACAGATCAATATCAGTCCATTATTTCGCTCGTTTCAATCATAGATAGGTTCTGGCTAGCGATTCTCTTAGGCATAGCTGTGATGCCGGCGCAGCTTAGGTTGACGTCAGGATAGAAGTACATGCCCCGGCCACACCGCCATCCAGATCAAAGAGAATACGCAACAATATTCATCAAAAACTCACGTTATCGACAGGAGGGAGGCTGAACTTCAGCGAGAGTGGAGGGACGCTCGCAGTGAGGTCCTGCTGCTCTTGCTCTGAGTACATCTCATTCTGATGGGGAGGGCGCGAGTATTGGGCAACGAGCTTATCCATTGTGTGCTGAAGTAGGAGAAAATAAGGAGAAAATTAGAAAAGAGATGCTGGAAAGACGTGAAAGGGATTCTGGTGAGACGGGCGAGTGATGGTTGAAGCTCCGCTGGAGCTCGGGTTTCCGCGTCACTCTGGCGCCTGTGGTCACGTGCATTTACAGTACTACAAAACGATGTCGATTTCCAAGGTTGGTATTACTTTTTGGAAGAAATTGGAAGAAAGAGAATATAAAAAGACGAATCATTCAATTAACGAATTAGCCAAATAAACTTTACAATACACAATTTGATTATTTCTGAGTATAGAACCCCCAATGTTCAGTGCAAGCCAACGCCTTCCCCGGAAAACACGAGCAACGTTTGGTGCCCAATCTGAGGCGAAGAGCCGAATTTACACATAACAGCTGAAGTATGTCCGTATCGAACTAAAATGGGGACCGCCAGACCACTGCGAAGGATTGAAACGATCACGCAGGCGCAGGCTCAACCACCATCTTCGCGGGCAGGCCACCGCTTCCCACTGGTTCGGTGTAACCCTCATTCACAGAGCCATTCTCGAGAACATCCGACTGGCGTTCCGACACGTCATCACGTCCATTAACACCGGCACCGTTGACACCATTGACACCGTTTGCATGAACTGGAGACTCCCGGCCCGCGCCAGACGTGATAGGCTCAACGCTGGGTTCCCATCCACGGAGATCATTCTCGGCATCCTCGAGGATCTGGCGTGCCAAGTGCTCACTGTCATACGCCTGGCGGGCATCACCAGGAACAACAGGAGTGTCATCAATGTAGTTGAGCAGACGACGAGCATGGCGAGCGAGAATGGTCTGCTTCTCGGCGCGCTCAATGACGGCCGCGAGATGGATATCATAGGCCTCCTTGAGCTTTTGCCTGGTCTGCAAATGAGATGAACGTTAGCCAGTCCAAACTAACCTCAACACCACACAAGAACAGATTGAAGTCAGAATCAAACGTACGGTATTAGACAGCTGCGCCTCGGCAACCAAGTTCTGAGCCTCAGCCCGAACAAGCTCATGCTCCAGCGTGACCAGGCGAGGACTCGAAGGATCCTTGTACTTGAGCTTGGCAATCTCGTCGGTGACCTTCTGGCGCTGATCGCGAGACGGCTGCACCGAGGCCTCCATGTTGCGAATCTGCTTCAGGATACCACGGTAGTCCTCGAGGTTCTGCGCAAAGTTGTCTTCCTGCTCGCCTATCTCGGCGAGCATGACGCCGAGCTTGTCGGAGATGTCGGAGACATTGTCGTCTTCAGTCGCCTCTCCCCATTCAGAGAGCTGGGCGGCGATCGAGGTGCGCTCACGGCCGGCAGCTTCATGGGCGCCGATGGCGGTATTCTCGCTTTTGATCAGCTTGGTCATCTTGCGGCTCAGCTCCGGCGCTTGCATCCCACGGAGGGTGGAAATGCCGAACCGCCCCCGGCTAGTAGGAGGCTCTTTGCGCGATCGGAATGAAAGGTTGCGGTTCCTAGGCTTTGGCTTAGTCAAAGTGAGGGCAGAGAAGATAGGAATACGTACATCTTGTTTTCTTGTATGTAGATATAGTCAATCAATACAAGTTAGGGTTATGGGAGGATATGTTAAGACGAGAAACCGAGAAGACTGAATCCGGGGGAGGTCAATGATAAGTCGGTAGCGCCTTCCTATGGATGACGATCGTGACGAACCCTATTCTCTCCAGAGCTTCTCTTTTGCTTGCCCAGAGGAAGTGTACTCCCGACTGACGTCATGAACGGGGAGGGGCGGAATTGGAAGCAGTTCATGGACATCACATTTCCGATTGCAGACATTTCAGTTTAACGTTGTAGAATAAGTCGTGAGTGGTGATGATCTTATAAAATCTGAGTTATGCATCATGAAAGTATCTAGGGTTGATCGTCATTCTCCACCGGCTTCCCGATATAAGAGTACTAACAGTACCATCTGGTCAGCCTTGGCTAATATTAGTTAATTATGATATTATATTTCAACCATTTCATACATATGTAGGTATATAATCATAGAACAGCATCTGTGAGTCCCTTTATTTTCGGATTCTAAATATGCGTGGACCCAACTGCTACCTTCCTAATTGGGAGAGATCGCATTCAATCAAGCCTACAGAGGAAGATAGGGTGAAAAATAGGGATTAAATTCATGAGATCCCATCCTCTATCCTCTCAATTCGAGGCAATAAACAAAGAAATCCGCAAGGCCAGAGGAAGCACAGAATCCCCCCGGCCAATCTTATGGTACACAACCAGCTAAAGCATCCTACATAAATCCAGACACCCAAACAAGCCCCGCAACGCCTGAAACAGATCAGAATCACTGATCCGCAGAATCATTCGTTAAAAAAAGACTTCCATATGAAAAAAAAGGTCGCGGGGCAGATTAGGCAATGTCATCTGCATCCGGGTTGTGCGAGAGTTCGTTGTCAGATGCATGGAATGCGTCGCCAAACGCCGAGTTTTCCAGGTCTGGCAAGTCAAGCCCATCGTTCTGCTCACTATAAGCCGCCAAGGCATCCCCGGCACTATCGATGTTGGTAAAGTCGAAGTCTCCACCGACCGCGGTATGGTCCTTGCTCTCATTGTTCACCATCACCCAGTCGTTGGCCTGGCCATTGGTACCAGCGTGGAGCTGGTCGCCCAGATCCATGTTAACATCACCGGACATATCAGCGCCGTGGATTGGTTGTCCATTAACAGAAACACTCGAGACTGCGCCTATACCAACTCCCGGGCTGCCAAATTGGTTGAGGAGGTGGGAATCATCGTCCATGACCATATCGTGGGTAAATGAGTCGGGCTCGTCTCTGTGTTCGGGTTCAATCTTCTCCAACAAACCACCCTTCTCGACACAGGATACCTTGGGTTCGGCAACGATTTGCTTATTCCAGGCAGTCTCAACTTCCCGGACTACCTCGTCAACCCTGTATTTGGCCTTATCTTCAATATAATCCAATTGCGGGGTTTCATCCTCTGTTGGAATGACCACTCGGCCCTCCAGTCTCCAAATCTCTGGGCCCTTTTCGGTTGGGTCAGCAGCAGACTCTCGGAGGCGCAACTCGGCATCCTTAAGCAATGAGGTTCGGTTGAAACGTTGCATCCGGCGAGCATGCTGTTTCTTCAGGTTTTCGATCTCGGCGGTCATATCCGCCACCTTCTTAGAAACCCGCTCGGCAAACTCCTCAGCCTTAGCTGGCTCCATCTTGTTAGCCTGTGGGGCGTCGCCCGCCTCCTGGCCTTCTCCACCAGAGGTTCCAACAGGAGCATCGAAGAAGCCTGCAGTCAGGGACTCAAGCTCTCCCTTTCGGCCCAAGCCCAAGGAAACTGGTGTGATTTGCGAGATACTGTATGGTGACGCGAAGATTTCCTCCATCCACTCGTGATGTTGCTGGTATCGCATCTTGCTGACATCGCGGGGCGTCAAAAGATCCATAGCATCACCACTGGAGACGTCCTCGTCTTCAATAGCAAAATCAGCTGTTGCAGAAGCGAGAGCAGCCGACGGCGCACGGTGTCCGCGCGGCCCTTTGGCTACGGGTGCATTGGGCGGAACTGCACCTGGATGGCCCGGCGGTGCGTAGAAACCAGGCCCACGAGGCGCAGCAGCTGGGTAAGCACCGGGTTGCCCAAAGTTCTGCGGAGTCATTTGCGGGAAGTTGATAACTGGCCAGCTGTTGCGATCATGAAGCAAAAAGTCCTTGCGGGCCAGTTGTCCTTGGCTCTGAAGGAAGCGGCGCTGGCCCATCATCCCCTGGACTTGGGGTGTAACTTGGATTCGGTTTGCAGGGGCATGGTCCTGAGGCGCCGCACGGGTGTAGTGCACAATCCACAGTGATGGGTCGGGCTGGGGGGCATTCGGTACTTTAGATGAGGTGATGCGGTAGCGCTTGCGGCAGTGTGTTGCCACGGGCTCATTGGGAGGGTGGAAACCGCTTCGGTGAAGGTACATCTCGACGGTCTGTGTCGTCAAATATTAGAATGGAATGCACATGGAGCAAGGGAAGCTTCATATTGCAGGAGGCATACATAGCCGCGTGATTCAAAGGTAAAGGCCTGTTCCTGGTCGGCCCAGATATAGCCATCACTAGCAAAGTTATTGCCTAGGTGATTTTGGGGCTGCCATGTAAGCATGACGGTCCCATCTGGTGGACCATCGAGAAATGTCCAATGCATTGGCTGGGATTGACAGATCCGGGGTGCGCTCGTCAAATACTCGACGGCAGTCTCGGAGGGCATCATGTGCATGCTGGGATATCGGTTGCGCGAAACGAGGTGCATGTGGGGGAGCTATTATAATTGCGACAAGATTAGTGGGGGGTCACAGATCATGGGGCGATCAATATAGGAAGTTGCTGGGGGTATTACCAGCTGCCCCGGGATGCGTGTGGCCGGGTCATCCATGTTGGGCACTTGATTGCCAAGTGCAATCAAATTTGGGAAGATACGAGTAAATTAGGTTCAAATGAAGTGAGTCAATTGGGATGCGATGGAGGTAGACAGGGCAAGAGCAATGAAGGATGGAGGTGTTCAATAGACGCGACACTACGCGGGAGATTTTTGATACGGGCAGCGGTACAGACCTGATATGCAGAACACCTGAATTTACAGGCATAAATCTTCTCTCATCTTTTCTCGGTTTGGAAGATTCATTCATTCATTATCCATATAATTCTGTATAAATAGACAATAGAAAATGAATGGACGATTGTACTCTGTTTATATAAGGAATTCCAAGACAATTGATGTTGGCAGATGGGAAAAGGGGTATTCTACACACTTAGGACAAACTAGTTTGTTAACTAACTAGCTAGCAAATTTCAGCATCAGACCCTTTTCCCCTATTAAATAGGCAAACAGGTATCCCAGTCAAGATCAAAAAGGTATGCACTCTCCTTTGAAAGGAATACGCACAAAGCACGGAGTATTTCCCAACCTCGGCCTTTTCACACCAAGCTGGCAGCTCTCCACCTAAGCTTTTGCCAATTCCTCCGCGTTCTGTTTTGTCTCCGATTCTCCACTCGAAATATCCTTCGCATCGCAGTGACCAATAGACACATCAATAGTTTTGACAGATCCACCAATCAATTCGAATCTGAGCTGAGCTGGCCATTAGTTCCTGTACTATGTACCACGTCTCTGCTGATCCAGGCCTTTTTTTCCCTTTCGCCCCGCGAATAAGTATGCGTCCGAATCCTGGAGATCTGTCCGGTCTTTTTCTCTCTTCTTCCCCGTTCTCGCCTTCAGACCAGTATTCCATTGTCGATTGCAACATCTCCAATTCACCATGGGCTTCTTGGAAAGGCAGGAGCAGCCGGAGGATGTAATCCAAATAGCCCCGAATGAAGATATCGAGAAGATTACCGTGCCCGCTCACGAGGAGAGACCGCCCACTGCAATCTTGCCGGCTATTGACCCCGAGTTAGAGCGTCGAGTAGTAAGGAAATTGGACTGGCGTGTTCCAACATTATTGGGATTTTTCTGTATGCTTCGAACTCCAGACATTAAACGAACTTATACTCTAACCATGTGCTGTGATACCTAGATCTCCTCGCTTTCCTAGACCGAAGTAACATCGGGTTCGTCCGTCATACCATCTTTGGGGCTGCAAAATATAGCACAACCGCTGACAATATAGACCATAGAAATGCCAAAATCGCCGGCATGGAAGAGGACCTCAGCCTCGATGGAAAAAGCTACTCCTGGCTCTTGACAATCTTCTATATCTCATATACATTGTTTGAATTCCAAGCACTGATGTGGAAGATTGCCAAACCGCACCAATGGGCTGCCTTCGTGGTGTTCTCCTGGTATGAATCCACACGCAATGCTGTCAACCAGCCGGAATTGAAATGTACATGAATCTATGAATTATGAACTGACGAACGATGGAAAGGGGTTTAGTGGCAACCTGCCAAGCAGCGGTCAGTAATTGGCAAGGTATGATGGCGCTCCGGTTCCTAATGGGCGTCTTCGAGGCTGGCTTCGGTCCCGGCGTGCCCTATCTGCTGTCATTCTTCTACCGCCGCCACGAGCTGGGTCTCCGATGTGGTCTGTTTCTGACTGCGGCGCCGCTGGCAAATACGTTCGCCGGCGCCTTGGCCTATGGTATTACTTCGGGACATGCTGCGTTGGCAAATTGGCGATTGCTGTTCCTGGTTGAGGGTGTTCCGGTCTGCGCGGCTGCCTTACTGGCTTGGTTCTATTTGCCCGATAGCCCGCTGGACGCTAAGTTCCTGACTGAGGAAGAGAAGGATGTTGCGCGCGCTCGTGCACTGCAACAATCGGGCGAATCAGATCGCACGAGCAAGATCCAATGGAAGGAATTAGCTATGACGCTTCTCGATATGAAAGCGTGGATTACAGCAGTAAGTCGAATATTAACACGATTATGTGTATTTTATGGAGAATTTGCTGACGTTGAACCCTTTACCTACAAAACAGTTGATGTACTTCAGCTGTAATGTCAGTTTCTCTTCTTTGCCCGTGTTCTTACCCACCATTCTTAGAGAGATGGGCTTCACAGCCATCAATGCCCAGGGGCTCACTGCACCTCCATTCTTTGCCTCATTGCTGGCGACGATCGCGACCACCTGGGTGGCCGATCGCATTCAGCAGCGTGGATTGATGATCGCAGGTTCATCACTGGTTGGTGGCGTGGGGTACATCCTTTGCGCGATTTGCACATCAGTGGGTATTCGATATTTTGGTGTGTTCTTGGCGGCCTGTGGGATCTTCCCCTCGATCGCCAATATTCTGCCGTGGGTTCTGAGTGAGTCATTTCCTTTTCTGATTAGTTCGTTAGACTTTTCTTTTTTCGTAAAGGTCTTTTATTGACTGGATATATTACGTTACATATTATACAGACAACCAGGGCTCCGATACTCGCCGTGGTGGAGGTATTGTTCTGCTGAACCTGATCGGCCAGTGTGGGCCTTTCCTGGGCACCAATATCTTCCCAGATGAACAAGCCCCAAGGTATGTGAAGGGTATGGGAATTTGTGCTGCTTTTATGTTCTTCACTACACTTCTCGCTCTGTGTTTGCGTGTGCTCCTGGTATGGGAGAACCGGCGCCTTGACAAGAAGTACGGGCCTCGCATTGAAGACACGAAAGCTGTGGATGGCCCGGTAGCGGAGGATAATTACGGTGCCAATTATCGTTATGTGCTGTGATTTCCGTGTCTGGAGATCACTGCGCATCCTAGTCTGCTTGCCTTCTCATAACTAGGTATATATCTGTGATGGCTATGATGTCAGGAAGCCCACCTGGACAAAGTCTTCGAACAGAAAATTGAAACGTGAACTCTGTACATTCCCTGTTGAATTTAAATATTTACACTGAAGCACTTTAGGTGGATCTCATTCTTGATAATAATTGCTCTTTTGTGATCCTGGTACTTTGGCCCCCACGTAGGTACATATGTAATCATTCACCCTACATCGATGTGCTACACCCAATATATACGTCCAAACAGCATCGATCCATTAGTAAAACTTCGATGTGTTATATTCCCTGGTTATTCAAGAATTTATGTAGTTATCTTAACATACCTTTGCTCACGGGACCTACTCCGTGGGGGGCAAAGCAAGAAACCCGGGGCGGAACACTCCGGGCCAGTCATGAAGCCAAAATGAAGAAGAGCTAGAAAAGCCAGAAAGGCTAGAGACGTCACTTGAGGGCATTTCATTCGTGCAACGTACAACACAGCTCACCGGGAGTTCCACCGGAAAACCGGACAGAGTCGGAGAATATGACATCTCGAGTGGGATGGTGGGGTATGACTGCATAAAAGGTTGAGCTGCCCCTCCTCTTTTTACTCTTCTTTCTTTTCTCTTCATATCAATCCATTGACCAATTTGCACAACAGTAACTATCTACCATATATACTTGTATATCCGCAGGGCTGACTCTCGTTTAGATCCCAAACGGACAAGTACATACTGCCCTTCCTTTGGGAGCCATGGATACTCTTTGGCTGGGCACATTATCCCTCAGGGATCAAGGTATCTCAGGTAACTTCTGGGTGATGAGCCGGTGTTCGTTCTTGCGTTGGTGGTGAATCCAATGTGTCTAGACATCGGATTCACTCTCGGCGTGGGTTCGTTCTGAGATTATACGGCCTTTAACTTGATCTGGATAATACCAGCGAAAGGATCATGCCCTCCCCTTCCTCTCCCCAAAACTTGAGTAGTCAAACTAACCAAGGCTCAAAGTCAAATCTTCGACTTGATCTCTGAACCATTATGTCTCCTCCCGCTGCCATGTTTGAGTCTGCTACTGTTGCCCCTACCGGCATCAAGGGCAAGGTCATCGTCCCCGAGTCGGTGACTACTACCCTAACCGGCCAGGGCCAGTCAAACCTCCTTGAACAGTTCGGCAACAAATGGGATGAGTTCAAGTTCGCCCCTATCCGCGAGAGCCAAGTCTCGCGCGCCATGACCCGACGCTACTTCCAGGATCTGGACAACTACGCCGAGAGCGACGTTGTCATCGTCGGCGCTGGTTCCTGTGGTCTGAGCACTGCCTACGTGCTCGCAAAGGCCCGTCCAGACCTGAAGATTGCCATCGTGGAGGCCTCTGTGTCGCCCGGTTAGTCGCGTCCCCATGCGAGTAGACTCAGTCTCTCTCTCGTGCAGACCACCACACCCAAACCAAAAACAGCCTCACTAACAAGCATGTAGGTGGCGGTGCCTGGCTAGGTGGTCAGCTATTCAGCGCCATGGTCCTCCGGCGCCCCGCAGACGCCTTCCTGACCGAGCTCGGCGTGCCCTTCGAAGAAGAGCCCACGAACCCCAACTTCGTGGTCGTCAAGCACGCCTCGCTGTTCACGTCGACTCTCCTGTCAAAGGTTCTCACCTTCCCGAACGTCAAGCTCTTCAACGCAACCTGCGTCGAAGACCTGATCACCCGTCCAGATGGCAACGATGTCCGTCTCGCCGGTGTCGTCGTCAACTGGACCCTTGTCACCCTCCACCACGACGACCACTCCTGCATGGACCCCAACACCATCAACGCCCCAGTGATCGTCAGCACTACTGGCCACGACGGGCCATTCGGCGCTTTCTGCGCTAAGCGTCTCGTCTCCATGAACGCTATTGAGAAGCTGGGCGGCATGCGTGGCCTTGACATGAATGCGGCTGAGGACGCTATTGTTAAGAACACCCGTGAGGTCGCTAAGGGTCTTATCATTGGTGGTATGGAGCTGTCGGAGATCGATGGCTTCAACCGTATGGGCCCTACTTTTGGCGCTATGGTCATGAGTGGTGTTAAGGCTGCTGAGGAGACTCTGCGTGTCTTTGAGACCCGTAAGCGCGAGTGTGCTGAGTAAACTCGCACCCTCTCGTGCTGGCTGGCTTTGTCGTTTCTGCTTGCGCCTTGCTTGATGCTGGTGGACTCGCTGGAGATTTATGTAGCTTTGATGATGACGATTTCTTAACAAATGCACTTCACACTCGTTTGTGCAAATTCTCTTCCGCTTGAATATGTAGACAAGTATTTTATCTCGAGAAGTTGATCTTGCTTTTGGATTATGAATTAGTTCTGCCAGTCGAGGGTAAGACTAGCTGGGTATATGTTATACTACACTTTCGTAACCAAATATAAAACAGACAGATAAGCCACGCAATCAAGCCGCATCTCCCATGTATAGTCCCCTTTCCATAACCAGCTTGTGAAAAAAAGAATCATTCATCCTTCTGGACTCTCTGCGTTTCTTCCGAAGCAGCACCTGCACCACTCTCGGCGGCAACCACCAAGCTTCTAGCATTTCTCACCTCCCATTCAAACTCCTTCAAGGCACGCAACTCACCCGACATGAACAGTCCACCAATCAAACCATCAAGAATCCCAGCGCCGAAGTTGAGTGTGCTAACCAGGACGAGGATGAACCCGATGTACGTGCGGCTGCCAACCCACCAAACGCCGACCATGCAACCAATGGAAACCACAATGGAAACCAGGAAATGCGCCAGGCGCCAACGGCGCTGAGAGCGTTCACGGTCCACGTATTTGTGAATAATTTCAATGATGTGGTCGTATGTGTCTGGGGAAAGGGCAGCGTTGGGGAAGACGGGCTTTGAACTCGTTTTATGCAGGGCGGGCGAATTGGGAGAGGTTGGGGCAGATTCTGTGGAATGGGAAGGAAGGTACGTCGGTACCGGAGAACGGGTAATGACAGCCTCAACGGCGAAGTGGTCGCTCAGCGAGCAGAGGAGAGTGGGATGGCGCTGTGTCATGGATATTTGAACTGACTGGACTGACCAGGTAGATGGCGGGAACGCAGGCGGATAGCCACCGTCGCCGATGAAGATATAATCCAGACGTTTGCCGCGCGGGTCAGGGGTGTCCTTGTCAATGGCAATATCCTCGCCCTTATCTAGGCGCTTGCGCATTGCCTCAGTCCAGCGCCAGGTATTGAAGGACCCGTCGCATGTAGCTCCATTCTCGGCGAGATTGAACTCGGCGGTGGGAATCGGCCGATTCCGTGCTTTTTCAACAGGATCAATTGCTGCCGCGAGAGACGAGTTTGGATGTAGCTCGCTCCAGGCGTCGCGAACAGGGCTCTGCGTGGTGATGAGGCGGTGCGCGAAAGAGGAAGGCAGCATGTTAAAGTCGCCCAACCCGATGACTAGATGACCGCGTTCCGCAGCGCCGCGCATTAGCTTGGCGATCTCCCATGCCTGCGCGGTCCGATGACATAGATAAGAGTCGTTCGGTTCGCGCTCATAGGGCGCGTGTAGGTGAGTGCAGAACACCTCGGCGACGTCAGCGATGCCAGGACCGAACCGAACACGCGCGGTGGCCACTCCTTTTCCCACGAACCAATCTCCTCGGAAGAATGCCGTCGGTCGACCATTCAACGGGTATCCGAACATACTGCTTTCCTCGATCGGCCATCTTGACAGAATCGCCAATCCCGCGCCAAATATGCCACCGTAATAAAATTTCCCATACGGCAGGATGTGTCGAGTCTGATCGCGAATGCTTTCGTAATCCTTCTGTGTCCAACACTCTTGCAGCCCGACTATCTCCGCCGGCGGGTTGGCTACCGCCAACTGCCGGCCAATCTCTGACATGCGTTCATGGCGGTACTTGGCGATGTATTTGAGACCCCAGCAGTTGAACGTAAGAATGCGGATGTCACTTGGAGGTTTTGAGGGGATAGAGCAGGTCATTTTGGCCTGGAATTGACCAGAAGGAGCTTTGACAGCTATTTCAGAGTTACTAAACGGCCAAGAAGCGCTCAATGAGGTGCTAAACAAGATATTATTCCACCTGAACGTCCACGAGTCCACGTGGTTTGATATGACGCAGCCCAACCTTGGGAAAGCTGCTCCCCCCAGACTCACCGCTCGCAAAATATCACACCGCCTTGATATTGTGCTTCGCGACGCGTCTGACTGATTTCATTTCAGGTTCGAAATTGGCTTGTTAACCTCATTTCGGCGCATTCGTATCTATTGTTTGGATGCTTTTGCGCATCCCTATTGTACAATGGATCGCGCGAACCCCCAACCTCGGCGCCGGGACCCTCGCGCCCAATCTCCCGCTGAGTCTTCCTCCGACGAACTCGCCGCCGGCTCCGACCATGATGAAGCGGAACGCCGCCGGGCCAGCTGGACTCTGCAAAAGGGCTTCACCCCACAGCGCCCGCAGAAGACCAGCCGTCTCTACAGCGAGTCTGAGAGCCCCGACGAGCTAGCTGTGGATGCCGACGAGTACTGGCGTTCTTCGCGCATGCGCAACCGCCGCCGAACCCCTTCTCCGATCACCCGCCCTAGCGTCCGTGACGACCTCTCTCAGGGCAGGTCGGATGATCCTGAAGACGAAGTGACTGGCTCAGACGGAAACCAGGCTAGCGTCGCCGACAACTGGTCCGATCGTTCGGCCACACCTCTTGCTCCTCCGCAGCCTCCCAAGCCCGAGCATCTGAACTACAAGGAGAAGTTTGTGATGCACGGCCACCTACGTGGAGTCTCGGCTGTGCAATTCTCACCCGATTGCTCTATGATTGCTAGTGCAGGTATGTATTATGCTCATGATCAAGTTACTACATGACTTGATAACTGACTTGCACAACAGGTGCCGACGCAGCGGTCAGGGTCTGGGACACTGCGAGTGGTAGACTCATTCATGTCTTTGAGGGACATCTAGCTGGTATCTCTACCCTTGCCTGGGCCCCTAACGGTGACTGGATTGCAACTGGTTCCGATGACAAAACAATCCGCTTCTGGAACGTGAACACTGTAAGAAACCCATCTGTCATTTTATGTCTTACGGCCTCTTACTAATATTTTGATACAGCTTAAGGCCCACGCCAAGGTCTTTGATGGCCATCACAACTACGTGTATCAAATCGCATTCGCACCGAAGGGTAACATCCTTGTCAGCGGTTCCTACGATGAGGCCGTGTTTATGTGGGATGTTCGCCGAGCACAAGTCATGCGCTCCCTTCCGGCCCACTCCGACCCCGTTGCCGGTATTGATGTCGTGTTTGACGGAACCCTAATCGTCTCCTGCGCTCTGGACGGACTTATTCGTATTTGGGATACCCACAGCGGCCAGTGTCTCCGCACCCTGGTCATGGAAGATAACCCGCCTGCAACATGCGTCAAGTTCTCCCCCAATGGCAAATACGTCTTGGCCTGGACCCTGGATGGCTGCATTCGGATGTGGAGTTACGTCGAGAGCCGCGTCCTCAAGACATTCCAAGGCCATGTCAACAATAAATACAGCTTGTCGGGATGTTTCGGTACTTATGGGCCCCGAGATGTGATCTACAACCCGCCCCTGTGTTTTGCCGTCAGCGGCAGTGAGGATGGTTCTATTATCTTCTGGGATATTGTGAGCAAGCAAATCCTGCAGCGCCTCAATGGTCACAAGGACGCTGTCCTTTGTGTTCACACGGGTACACTGAGAGGCAAACGTATGGTTGTGAGCTGCGGAGCGGACAAGACTGTTCGTTTGTGGGAAGAGGTGAACGAAAACGACACCGGATCTGACGATGATGCGTTCGGCCGCGACGTCACCCCTACCCCTGAGTGCCACTCGCGAAAAAGCACCCCTACGCATGATGCAGACGGCGATGATGCCATGACTGATGTCTCCGCTGTGCCTTCCACTGCTGCTAACCCGGCGGAAGATGTGACGATGACATGAGCTGATCTTTGTCATTTATCTAACGATTTTTCTTTCTTTCTGCATAGGCGGCTGCTTTTCGGGAAAAGGAAAATACCCCGGCGTCTGGTGTTGTTCTCATATGGACCATTTGTGTCTCCCTGCTGTTTTTCAGCTTGAGCTTTTATTCTTGCCGATGATGCGACTTCATCTGGTTGATACATGTACTTGCATTGCATTGCAACATGTGACATATCGAGCGAGTGTAATTATCCAGAGGCTGATAATTCAATATTTCACTCCTAAGGTCTGAGCAGAAGAGCTTGGTTCACCTTTGAATCGTTAAAGATTTACATTTTCTGGGTCGCCCTAGGTACCCTTCTTGCTTTATTCATAGGACGGCGGGAACAGTCCTATACGATTTGGCCGGGAACGGGTGAGAGGACAATTATCTTCATATCCAAAGGGGATATAGGCTCTATATAAATACAACAAAGGCAGCAAGGAAATCACTTACAAGACATAAGCGCAGTGCTTGCGACAACTGAACGAATACATACTTGCACCTCAAAGCAATAGTGAGTGTCCAGTGACTATCTATTCAGGTATATCTAAGAGCAGATGTAGCAAGGCGACGCTCATTTGTAACCGTTTCTGGAGCGTAAGTGTGATATAGGGATCCTTTCAACACGACGACAGCTTTGTCATTTGAGAGCTAGGATCAATATTCATGTGGCAGAACATTTACCCCAAATGACTATGATTTACCCGTATCTTTAGTCTGACCACGTAGTACATCCTTTTTCCGTCTTAGTATTACAAATGTGTCTATTCTGCTAGCATGTTGCCTGCAATTTCCCACACTATATACCTGAGACTATTAGCATGATACAAACAACCCGAAAACAATGGATGCTCCCAGAATGAATAAATTTTGTAGACTACTAGATCAATGATACAGTAAGTGAACACACTGTATTATGGATGTTTACTACAACGCACATTGGAACTAATTGTCCGCCATGTGACATGGAGGCCTGATAGTAGTTTGTACAAAACCAATCCTACAATACAATGAAGGTTTCACTCCACTGCCCTATATATCCCGTATAGTTTATATTTGTCATGACATGCACAATAAATCTGGTTGGATAATCGAGCAGGCAGCCCCAAATGAACGCGCAATGCCGAAAAATCCCAGGGTATCTCTTTCAACAAGTCATCCGATTGCGGACGACCTGACTCGCTGTAGCAGATGCAGGATCTTCTGACTCACTGGGTACCAGAACAGTCCCAAAATCACCAGCCCAGCCAGCAGGAGGTGTGTCATATAACTGAACAGGTTGAGCCCCATTAACTTGTTTGGTGGCACCTTTCCCAGCAAAAGAAGACCGAGGCGTCTGTGTCTTCCTCAGCCCGTCATCATTCAAAAAACGACGAAGTGACTCTTTGCCAACTTTATTATCAACCACCACCAGTAGTTCATCGTATGTAATTTGAGGATTCGCATGAAAAGCTTCGCGGATTCGGGCTCGATCTTCGTCCTTCAGCTTCGACGGTCGGCCAGAGCGGGCTAATGAGCGATTATTGACTCGATTGCTCTCTCGAAGAATGGTGGACTTGATGGTCGAAAGTGGGATATGCGGGTATTCATCATGGATCTGTTTGTAGGTCCATTTGGCTGTGGTTCTGAGCACACAGAGCCGGGTGCGAATGAACGGATCGAGTTCAGCCCCACGTCGACGAGATCGTTTCTCGGGTTTGTCTGGGATCTCCGGCTTCTCGAGCCCCTCGGGCCCCATGGTAGCGAGCTCGTGCCTGGAGAGAGACGTGATGAGGGGTGGTGGAATGGGAGTGGTCGTCTGTCACGATGTAGTAGGCGGTATGACCATCACGTTTTCTGCCGAGTGCTCGGCTATAATAGGAAGGTAGTACGAAGTATATCTCTTATTTCTGTATATATTCAGGTGTCCGCTTTGTACGAATCACCAGTACGCAGGGGAGTTTGTTTGCAGGAGTTATGCTTGACCTCACAAATGTCCTGTGGTTTGCAACCATTGTTGATTATTTCAACCTTTGGTGATAGCTGTCGAAGGGAACCAGAGGATACATATATTGTAGCATTATTTTGAACATAATGTTTTTCACAAGTCAGGTCTATCTCGAGGTTGATATTAGAACTATTAGAGTCCTATGTCGTCGTTCCCAGGTGAAGGACAGGGGCCGCACGAGCGGCAGACTATTCTTACAATATTTGGATTATTGGGGAGTTAGAAGTATCTACGATTTATCCTAGATATTTACTCTATAGCTTGTATTTGACTCTTAAAGTAGGAAGTCCTTTTTTTAAGTTGTTTTCATTACAACATTATAGATTTGCTTGTAGGAGTTCTCCTAGAGACGGGATCAATCCCCTATTTTGGAGTTGCTCCATTATTATATCATCCAAGGAAGGGTTTGTTCATTTTTGTAGCAATCAACCTGAAACCATGGAATAGATCCTTTCGAAATCAATGTGCGCAAGTTTTTAACCGATAGTTTGTGAATGCTCTCTAACAATAGGCTAGGTAGGGAGTATGGAGTACGGAGTGCACTCTACAATTTATGCATGGACAGGTAGTAAGCACTATAGAAGACTATCGGAGGCTGTTAGTGATAATCACAAAAATAATTGATGGTGTGCCATAGGCTGTCAAAAGTGATAAGAATAGATCTTTGTGATTTAGGGTGGCACTCTAGCACTTGGACCTGTCTCACATTGATGATCAGACCACAGGGTGAACCCACATTGTTAGGTCTCAAATTTTGTGTTTTACACATCCATAGTTTCCGAGATGTGTGCAGTACGGAGTACGCACAATGTGATTCTTGGTGGTCTGGACTCGATTTGTCGCATGCATCATGACAAGATTTTTACCAAGAACATTATGTGTCCGTCTAGAAGCCTGTAAGGGGTCCACTGGTAAGTCTAGAACTGGGATTGTGCGAGGATCTTCGATCGGCGCGTCCTAAGCCCTGTAGCTTTCTCCCATCAATTATGTGTACGACACCTGCCCCGCGAGGGGTACACGTCATACATAACATGCACTGTGACAAGGATATTCGATTTGTGAAGAAGACCATGGATACGGAGTATTCGAGGTTCGGTTCTGCAGGTACCGCTATCCCTGAGTACCTTGCACCAACTTACTCCATAATACAGAGTACCAGATTTGAATTAATTTGAATGGTCGAATCATAAGTCGTAAACACGAGAGGCAATTGACATCCCGTGTGGCTGGTGTGGCGTTGTTTGGAATCCCTTGCCGTGTAAGAGGAGGAATGCGTTCCATGGGTGGGCGACCGGGAGAATTTTAGCGCCCACTCCTTTGGGTCATCTTAGGCTGGAACCTTGGTAAGTTGTGTGGTCAACCTTGGGTCTAATAGTCCGCAGGAAAGCTTTAAATATGAGCTTCAACTGTTGATGTACAACTCCTTTTCCATTAATCTGGACAGGATTAGACCATATTTTGGGAAACAATACGAAGTAAAGACTAGAAAATAAAATTAAGATATAAATACCAAGCCTAATGGAAATAGTAACATACCGAGCGTTAGGTCTAGACTGAAACGGGGGGCCAATCAGTCTCAAATTCAGGGGCCAAGGTTAGACTAACGTAAACTCGTAATTCTACGATCAGCCCTGGATACTTTCCTCTCTTTTCTTCTTCCACAGATCATCGCCTTGTGAGAGGGGGGTTTTCATTCACTAATCTCCAATTCCTCTCTCCTTCTACTGTCGTTCACTGTCTCTCGCTCAGTTATTTACAGCACCTGGTTGCTCGAAAAACCGGTGTCTCACAATCCCACCACATCGTCCTTGCGATCCTTTCGGCTCATTATTTATCTTTTTATTTCTTTCCTATAGCGGGTTGATCCTGCATTTCCTTTTGACTTTTTCCCCCTGTGACTTACCCACAGCCGGTCCATATATCGTTACAACCCATCCGATCATCGCGCCAGTCGATCCCTACATCCTTGATGAATCCGTGCCTCTTTGGTTCATACTGTTAGATTGGGATTGGTATAGTATATCGAACATCAATTGTGTCTGGCCAACATGCAGAACTTCATCTGGGCTCTGCTAGGCCTGGCCATTGTGCCTCAAGCCCTGGCAGCCGACACCCTATCCACGAGCGGATTCAACCTGTGCATGTCCGATTCCGCAATCAAAGTCCAAAAGATGGATGTCACCTACACTCGTTCTACTGGGGTAGTTGTCTTCGACGTGGCTGGCACCAACGCGATGAAACAGAATGTGTCGGCGGCTATCACCGTCACAGCCTATGGCAACGAGGTTTACCGCAAAGAATTTGATCCCTGCGGCAATGACATCCATGTTGAACAACTTTGCCCCGTCCCCAAGGGCACTTTTAAGGCCAGCGGATCCATGGAGGTTCCGTCCGAATATGCTAGCCAGATCCCTGGTATCGCATTCAACATGCCCGACTTGGATGGTCAGGCAAAGCTTGTCCTTAAATCCAAGGAAGGAGGTCAGAATGACGTGGCGTGCATTGAATCTCAACTATCCAACGGCCACACCACCAACGTCGGTGCGGTCAAATATGTCTCGGCAGGCATTGCGGCAGGCGCTCTAGCACTGAGCGGCATCTCTGCCGTTGGCTCGGCGGGAGCTGCTGGATCATCAACATCCAGCCCCGGATTTGGCGATGTAATGGGCTGGTTCCATTCCATGGCCACCAATGGCATGCTCAGTGTCGCCTACCCCCAGGTCTATCGCAGCTTCTCCTCGAACTTCATGTGGAGTACTGGTATGATCCCTTGGCCTGGTCTGCTGCAGTCCATCGACAAGTTTCGGGCGGCCACAGGTGGTAACTTGACCACGGAAAGCTATGATTACCTGAAGAATGCCTCCATGATGCACAGTAGCTCATCATCTAGCAACGCAACGAAACGGAGCTGGGATTACACCATCGAATTCGGCGAGATGGTTGCTCGCTCGATTGACGCCTCCGCTGATGCTAGCGTTTCGAACAGCTCTTCGAGCAGCGAGGACGATTCATCTTCGAGCACGGTTAACGACCTCAAGCAAGTCGCTCAAGATCTGATGGTCCCTTCTGCCGATGTTTTCATGACTGTTCTCGTGATCTTCGCCATTGTTATTGCTGTGGTTGTCGTCGGTATTCTTCTAATGAAGGTCATCCTGGAACTTTGGGCGCTGTATGGCAACTTCCCTGACAAGCTGTCCGACTTCCGGAAGGATTATTGGGGCTTGATGGCGCGAACAATCACCAACATGATCCTCGTGCTCTACAGTATCTGGGTGCTTTACTGTGTCTACCAACTACGAAAGGGTGACTCGTGGGCAGCAAAGCTGCTGGCCGCCATAACCCTCTCTCTCTTCACAGCGCTCCTTCTTTTCTTTGCTATTCGCATCGTCTACATGGCTCGCAAGTACAAGAAGGCCGAGGGAGATACCGACAGCCTGTACGAGGACAAGGAAACGTGGAGAAAATACAGTCTGTTCTACGATAACTACAAGAAGGACTTCTGGTGGCTCTTTATCCCTGTCATTGTGTACGCATTGGTCAAGGGTTGCATCATCGCCGGTGGCGAGGGCCACGGTCTGTTCCAAAGTGCCGGTCAGCTCGCCTGCGAAATCCTTCTGTTGGGACTCTTGGTTTGGAGCCGCCCATATGCCACCAAGGCATCAATGGGAATCAACATAGCCGTCCAGGTGGTCCGTGTTCTGTCCATTATTTGCGTCCTGGTTTTCGTCGAAGAACTCGGTCTTTCCCAAACAACAAAGACCGTCACAGGCGTTGTCCTCATTGTCGTGCAGTCTACTCTCACTGCAGTCCTCGCTATTCTCATTGCAGTCAATGCATTCATCACTTGCTTCCGCGAGAACCCGCATGCTAAGGCGAGAAGAGAAGCTGGTAAGTCAAAGCTACCTTGTGATCTGCGTCCCATCCCAACATGTGCATATACTGACGATCCCTTTCTTATAGAAAAAGCAAACCGTGACATTGATGACCTGACTCCCTTGGACGCCCGAGACTCCCTCCTGATGGACCACCCACAGCGCAAGGAATACGCCGAGATGAGCAGCTTCAACTTCACCGGCCCATATGAGTCTTACCGAGACGAGCCCAAGCGAGCCGGATCACCTGGCAGCAACGAACGCGATGGCCTAGTCTACAATGATTACGGCGTAGCGCACGGGCGCAGCGCAAGCCCCGACAGCCACCGCTCGCGAAGCTCTATCGAAGGTCGTCATCCCACAGCCCCGGGCTACGGGATGGCATATTAAAATAAGGAACAACAAAAAAGAATAAAAACAACCAACGAAAGCGTCACAGACTCGACATGACGTTACACTTCTTTCTTCTCTCTCGTATCTTTCTACCTTCCTTCCTACTCGACATTCTTAGATCGGGCGCGCGCTGTGGCTTGGGGGTTACTTTTTTTTGACGGTTTTTAGCGTGCTTGAAAATGGCGGCTGGGCATTTGATCTTCCCGCCTTTAGATGCATCTTCTTGTGTGATATCACTTCCATTCCTTTTACATCTTGTCTCTATACATACCTCATTCATTATCATGTTTACCATCTATCGTTTATATTACAGCTTGCAATTAATGAGCATTTCTTGTATATTGGTTTCTTAATAATCCCTGTGTCTTATTCATAGTCTTATAACACTGGCAAGATGAGCATATTATGGCCAAAGAATCTTATGACGGGCTATGTATACTTTTAGAACATGGTCCCAACAGCAGTCTGAGGTTGAGTTAGAGTATCCAGCCCCTTCTTAGCATGAAGTACTTGAACATAATCCCATAAAAATTTGACTGTCATATAACTTGTAATCTTATGGTTCCTAGTCGAGACAGAGATATCTGCATATAGAAAGGTTGATATACATGGTGGAAGCGCGATAGATGGATGGAAAGAGCATCTCAAAGCGAGGAGAGTCGTTCATTTGAACAAGCTTGTGAAAAACGAAATATTACTTAGCAACCCTGTACTTAGGGGTGCTGTAGGTTGGATGCTTACACTGTAACGTCTAGCAAACCTTCTAAAAGATCTGTAACTGGGCACTTGAATGATATGCCAACTGGACAATCTTCCAAGTCACGTGGATTTCGTGGCCCTATCTACGAGATGGCCCATGCAATTAATTTGACCAGCACGCCATAAAATGGACGATTCTGAGCTCAAGAATACATGCATATTTATCCTAAAGTAGCACTGATTAGCGTCCAATAATTTGAAATCTACAAAATAGCCCTGCGTAGCTTGGTTGAGGCCTGTCGCGCTGGTTCCCACCCATGGTTACCATGGCTGGGGAGCCTCGACCCCTGCAGCGTTGTATAGTTATAGAAGTCTTCCTATCGAAAACCGAACACCAAAAACCCTTCAACCTCCGCCCTTGACCTGCCCTACACCCTAGCCCTGCCCCCTACGCCCTACCGCCTACTGGACCATCTACAACATAACTCTCAAATGAGCACTATCGACTTTTGATTGTGAGGCTATCTCCACAGCAAAAGTAGTGTATCGCCGAGCTTCAAACGAAGATTGAAGATGCGCCCTCACCGATCGCCGAACAATTTCCCTCCCGCTTAGCACGGATAGCCTCGACACAAGCTTTCCAAGGTTGATTCTCGAGTCTCGACCTTCGCGAACAAAAGCACGAATACAACAGACCGGACAACCTTGAAGTGAAGTCAAAGAGTATGGGAAACGCCAATACAACCAGCTTACCACTTCGCCTTCGCTGGCGGCCACGCAATTATCAATCCATGAGGCCCAAAATCGCTGGCCTCAGGTAAAAAAAAAGACTTAAAAAACACATGAAAGAAACGAAGTCGTATCTGAAACGAGAAGAGACTAGATGCGTCACTTGAAATGGCCACAATAAGCAGATTAGCGCTGGTAAGGGTGGTAGGCACGGTGTCCACCTCGGCCACCACCACGGTAGTTCGCACCGGGCTTGCCGGCGTTACGGGGTCCAGTGGGAGCATTAGCGGGCGCAGTGCCCTGAGGCTGAGTGGTTCCTGTTTGAGAGAAGTGTTAGTTAATGTGAGCAAACAAAATAAGAACGGAGTCGGGATGAAAGGGGCACAATATGCAAAGACTCGTAAGAATCACATACCACTACCCGAACTTCCAATGCGTCTCATACCTGCTGGTCCGGTCGGGACGTGAGGTTGAGGAACTTCATCGTACATGCCCTCCCACGAAGTTGGGCCAACCTGCTGCTGGTAAGGCGAGAAACCGCGAGGGTCCATCGAACGGTTAATCTGCTGCTGTTCATACTTCTGCTGCTCGAAGGCAATCTGCTCGGTGGCGTTGTATCCCGGTCCAGTGTGTCCTCTGGCTGCGTTTGGGGTTCCGTTGTTGTAGTTGGCGGCCATAGCCGCGGCGTTGGGGACGGGGCTGGCGGAATCGCTGCCTGGGCCACCGGGGGCATTGGCTTGGTTCGGCTGCATCATGGCGGGGTTCATCATGTTGGGCATGGCCTGCTGGGAGCCAGGGCTCCCAGGACCGGGGCTCATAGTACCTTGCTGCTGGGCACCCATTTGCTGTTGCTTTTGCTGCTGCTGGAGCATCTGCATCTGCTGCATCTGCTGCATCTGAGCCATCATAGCGGGGTTCATGTTCATAGCACCGCCCATGTTCATACCGGGCATTCCTCCCTGACCAGCAGCCATCTGATGCTGCAAAACGGTAAAGTACTGTTGCATGCGTTGCCAGTATTGGGCCATCATCTGAGGAGTCATCGTACTACCCTGTCCCTGCTGAGCGGCTTGCTGCTGACCTCCATCGTTCTGGTTTTGGTCGCGGTATCCTCCGGTGCGGTGGCCTCCGCGTTGATCGTTGTTCTCACGCAGGTTGCCACGGGGCTGTGCCTTCTTGACCTCGATTGGCTTGCCCAGAATCTCAAGAGGACGGGAGAGAGCCTTCTCAACAGCAGCGTCACCGTCAAAAGTAACGAAACCAAATCCGCGGGGACGTCCAGTGTCCTTGTCCATCATAAGAGTGGCATCCACAACACGGCCAAACTGCATAAAGAATTGCTTAAAGTCCTGCTCGGTAGCCTCCTGGCTAACACCACCAACGAAAATCTTAGAAGTTTTCTCCTGTTCATCGCGAGGGATAGCACGCTTGGGATCGATCTTTGATATTGGTCAGCAAACAGTTCATTTCCCCTAATTGTCCCAATTGCGAGATAGTTCTTACAATCTTTCCATCCAGATAATGCTCCTTCACCATCACAGTATTGACGGTCTTAGCGTCACGGAAAGTCAAAAACCCAAAGCCGCGAGAGCGTCCAGTGGCGCTGTCCCGCATGACGGTGCACTCCTGAACCTCACCGAATTGAGAGAAATAGTCACGGAGGGACTCTAAACAAGATCAACATACGTCAGCTAAATGACGCGTTTTCTGCGTAACAAAGATATATTCACCGTCTGTAGTTTCCCAGTTCAGACCACCGATAAACATCTTTCTAACCATTGAATAGTCACCGGTTAGCGAAGGTTCAGCGCAAAGGAGATAATGTCCAGGAGATTGATATTCAATCAACGACATGATGATGAAGACAATGTGATAGAAATAATAATCGGCGAGGGTAGGAAGTAGACCAATGTGCAAAGGTGGCTGGCGGGGTATTGCTATTCATGGGCTATTCAAGTGCGAAAAGCTTCGCTATTCTGAGCATAACCGCCTTAGAACAAGCAGGGCACGTGCTAGGTCGGTACATGACCCTTGTAACTCGCAGTCACTGTCAATGTATACTTGTATGGTCTTGAGAAAATTTCGATGTTCATGACCGGACTTAACGTCAAGCCCACTGGTTTACATGGGCCTGCAGAATCATATCCTCCTCTTTCTGAATAGCTCAAGCCGGAGACAAGGCGAGATGAGAAGCGTGGAGGTGCAAGTATTTCAGTCGTATAAAGTGAATTGTCACTGTCTGTCTGTCTGACCCGTGAAAACCTTTGCCTTGTCTAACACAGAGTCCCAAGCTAAATAGCTACTTCTGCTCTGCCCTATCAAGGTATATCGACAGGAAACTATATAGTATCGGCTGTACTATATATCGTTTGTGACAAAGGTCCGTGGGTGGCGTTTGATTTGCGCAAGCAATCGTCTGATCAAGGGCTCCAGGCGATGTGCCATTTGAGCCTCTGCTTGATTCCGTGTAGCAGATGCCGGAGAATCCCAGTATGATCTGTAGATCACATTTGGTAGACGTTGGTGGTTGTGCGATGGGGTTCCTTGAACAGAGATGTTGATTGGTCGCCGAGCCCGCAGTTTGTTTTCCCTCCTTTCCAAGGTTGAAAACGCATGCGCCGTCAACCAACCGGCAGAATTTCCCTCAAATAGCCCATAGTCCATAGCCCAGAAAGATGATTTTAACCCGCAGATAGGAGACTCCTTCCTGCACCCAGATTTGTAGCCGAACCCATGAATAGTAATTGGCGTCACCCAGGCTTGTACCGGCGAGGTAAAGCTCGAAACCAGACGGATACATGCAATTGGGGTAGAGTTCGAACGTGAAGAGGTAAAGAAATGCAATTAGTGGACCTACCCATCTTCTTTGATTCCTGTTCCGTGAGACTCGGTTTCGACAGGAGGGGGTGCCTGGGTAGTGGCAGGGGCACCATAAGCGTTTGCGGAGCCATTGTGATAACCCGGGTCAAACTCGGAAGGCTGAGCAGGCTGCGATTCATATGTGCTGACAGGGGCAGGGGCGAAATCCTGCCCAGCACTGTCTCCAGCAGGTACAGGGTTGGTCGCGCCTAGATCAGTAGGCTTCGGCGCCTCAACCGCTGCAGTGGTACGATTGGTGGACTCATCGGCATCGTAACTAAAAAAAGGAAGTCCCATTAGAATTTCGTTATTCAATGTAAAGTCAAGTAGAAAACATACAGATCAGCGAAGAGATCATCTCCATCCTCTGGGTCAGCCATGATAATACAGTGAGCGGTCAATGAAGCGATAAGAGATTTAGTCACGGGAACAAGCGCAACCCTAGTAAATCAGAGTAGAAGTAAAACGAAAGTAACAAGTAGAGCGAAAAACCTGTGAACAGGTGGGAGAGGAAGAAGAGAAGTCCAACCGCGGGAATCCCCAAGCGGAGCGCTTACATAATGCATTGTCTTCAGGACTCGGGACGAAAGCTAGGCATTCTGTATGTATACATGCTTAGAACCTACAATATTGCTTTGATTTGTCTTTCATTTCAAGTATATTCCTCCCAAATATGCTCTATTGATCTTCTATTTCGTTCCTACATGGCCTGGCTGCTGGATACGGCATTCATCCTATCGCAGTGCCACCCCGCACGTGTATCAGACTCCCGCATGAGCACACCTCTTTCGGAATCCCCATACAATGGCGAACAAAAAAGGGCAGCAGGTATGTCCATCTTCCCGGCCTAAGGCTTTTTGAATCCTTATATGCTGGGCATTGAGCTGACCGCATCTCTAGGAAATGGTCCAGCTTGGTTCGTATCTTTAGCCTCCCCTTGCATTTTAATCGCAGCTATAGCTTACATGGCCTTTCTTCCCATTCACAGACAGGTCGGAGTAAGTGAAATCTTTACATGCCCCCTTCTACAGCTATAAAAACAGCTATAAGGTCTGTCAAATGCTAATATCTTTGAAGACGTGCCGAATCGCCATTCTGGGCTGGCCGAAGTACGCCCCTAAATCAGGGATCATCGAAATTCTATGGGTCGAATACTGTTGTTGGTGCATCATACTCGCATGCCAATATTGTACAGTATGTTAGCAATGCATTCTACAGGTCCAGCAATTGATCGGAAACGATGACTGACAAGTGTCTTCTTTGGCAGACCTACTTCCCATTCAGCCCCGAAGACACCGCCGAAGCCATCAGCGACAAATGCTGCGTCGAACTTGGCTCGCAGGACAGGGAACCTGGTTGCCTCACCTCCCCGGCAACCCTACCCCGGCATTATGACCGAAGGGGTTGACGAGTGGAGTCGTGACCCCACGGAAGAAGAATATGAAGAAGATGATGATGACGAGATTGTTTACGATGATGACGAAGATGAATTCGGGCTCCCTAGTCTTGCTAGTATGAGGAGGAAAAGATCCGTGCCTTTGAAGGCCCAGAATATCGATTTCAGTGGTGGGGCAGCAGGCGACCCCTCAACGCTTGGGTATGGATTGGCAGCTGCCAACAGGCAACGCGCAAATAGTTCAGATATTGCGGAAGAGCGTGGTGCCCCCATGTATCCAACTGCTCGCAAGGGAGAAGGGAAGATCCTCCGGCCTCAATACAAGGACATCCTACAAGGTATGTATTAGTTGATGACTGAAAAAAGTAGGACAATGCTGACAGTTATAGACCCTGCTAATGCTTTGAACCTCATCAACCACTCCCCACCTCCTATAGATGCTTCGGCCAAAGACAGGGACATCCATTCGAGTCGCATTACGCGAATCAACAAGTTCAAGCGCATCCTACAAGCAAGTACGGTATCTCCTACCGAGCTGCGGGATCTTGCTTGGTCAGGCGTCCCAGAGGAAGTGCGGCCAATGACTTGGCAGCTTCTCCTTGGCTATCTTCCTACAAACAGTGAACGACGTGTCTCCACTCTGGAACGGAAGCGTAAGGAGTACCTTGACGGAGTCCGGCAGGCCTTTGACCGAGGCAGTGGGGCAAGCTCTGCGAACCCTCCTTCAAACAAGGGCCGCGGGAGGGGACTTGATGAGGCAGTATGGCACCAGATTAGCATTGATGTCCCACGCACTAGCCCCCACATTCCACTGTACGGCTACGAAGCCACCCAGCGGTCTTTGGAACGCATCCTTTATCTCTGGGCCATCCGGCACCCAGCAAGTGGTTATGTTCAGGGTATCAATGATCTAGTCACACCATTCTGGCAGGTCTTCCTGGGCGTTTACATAACCGACTTGAACGTTGAAGAAGGCATGGACCCAGGCCAATTGCCTCGGAGTGTGTTGGATGCTGTGGAAGCGGACACTTTTTGGTGTCTGACAAAGCTGTTGGACGGTATCCAGGACAATTACATTTATGCTCAGCCTGGCATTCACCGACAGGTCAGGGCACTACGAGACTTGACAGTGCGCATCGATGCAGCACTCGCAAAGCACCTCGAGCAAGAAGGTGTGGAATTTATGCAATTTAGCTTCCGATGGATGAACTGCTTGCTCATGCGGGAAATGAGCATCAAAAATACGATACGCATGTGGGACACGTACATGGTACGTTTCCCCTTAGGGAACTGTTTTGCATGATACTGATCGTCATTCTAGGCTGAGGAGCAGGGCTTCTCTCGATTCCACCTCTATGTTTGCGCCGCATTCTTGGTTAAATGGACAGATCAATTGGTCAAGATGGATTTCCAGGTACGATTTTCTAATCGAATATCGCCACTGTTAAACAGGAACTAACGTTCTTCCAGGAGGTCATGATGTTCCTCCAAGCATTGCCAACGAAGGGTTGGACCGAGAAAGACATTGAACTTTTACTGAGCGAAGCGTTTATCTGGCAAAGCCTGTTCCAAGACTCGCGTGCTCACCTCCGGCCTGCTGGTGATGAACCTCCTGAAAATGGTATCTTTTATTGATAGTAATCATAATTCATGATCCGAATTTTCAACTTCTATTTTCGGACGCCTTTCCCCGGGGCAGACGTGGTCCGTCTGACTCAATTGAAATGAATGCCCTTTTGGTTGAATGCCCACAGCAGCTTCAGGAAATCATTCTCATCACACATTCTCGCGCGCTTCTCTCCGAGGCCAGTGTCATCGTCCAGGACCTGGCGTACCTTCTCACGGACTAGCTCTGCAACCTTGCCACGCTTCTTGCGCGAAGCTCCATTCTTGAGTGCTGCTTCGAGGCGGGCATTTGTGGTCTCCTTAAAGAAATCAGGAACATCGTCATCGTCCATATCCATGACCTCGTCGGCCGGTTCCTCGGCAGCCTGTTCCTCTTGCTCCTCACCCATGTCCATTACCATGGCGTCGTCATTGGCGACTTCAACTGGGCCATCCTCCACCGGGAGGTCGTTTTGCGCGCACCATGTCCGATAGTTTGCCTCTAGCAATTCCATTATGCTTGTCGTACCAATGAAACTGGACCGGAGAGTCTTGTTCTTCCGAACGAAAACAATTCGCAAAAGACCGTCCCACTCTTCGTAGTTGATCTGTGGCCGTGGGTTCTTGGGGACCATTCGAATGACGCTTGACTCGACCTGCGGCGGTGGCTTGAAGTTGTTCTTGCCAACCTTCATGATATGATCAATCTTGGCCCACATTTGCGCATTGACTGAAAGTCGACTGTAAAGTTTGTCGCCGGGCTTGGCGAATAAACGCAGAGCGAATTCACGTTGGAACCTGTATGTGAGGTTCACATGTTAGCTCTCTATTACCACAGAACGTTTCTGGGTACTTCTAGCCTTGATGACGGAGACTTACATAAGGATGCAGGAACGAGGCGCAGGGGACGTAGCCAGGAGTTTGAATGTCAGAGGAGAGGAGATCTTGACTCTGTTAGACTCGGTAAGAACCCTCTGAAAAGATTTGAGCTTGT